TTTAACTTATACCTTAAAAACACATATTAAAAAATCTCTATACTTAAATACGCAAGAGTAAAAAAAAAAATCTTAAAATTATTTTTTTTCCCAAGTCAGGTGGTTTTTTTTTTTAATCAATGCCATGTATTGTCCAATCATCGTCTTTTGTTAACGGGCCACAAAAATGAAACGGAAAAATGATGTTTTCTAACGTCATCCTTAACAGAAGGGGTGATTTGCGGATTTCATGTAGTAGGAGGGCTGATTTGCCAGTGTTTCTTGTACAGGGGCTGAATTGCCACAACATTGCAGGTACAAGGGCTGAATTGCACCTTCTGCCATCAACAAACTGTTAGTTTTGCAAAAGAGTTCGCAAAAGACTTTTGGATGAGAAAATAAAGGGATTTATGCTTCACCTAACAGTTTTTGTTGTGAAATACAAATTGCGCAACACTTTTTTTTGTTATAGGGCCAAAAGATAGGGAGTCCAATAGTGCATATTTAGTTTGGACCTGAAGAGCTTAGAGGCCCACCAATTTGTGTAGCTATATGATGGATTGGAAACACTATGATAGGCTGAAAGAGGAAGGTTAATCCAGCAAACCAGTTCCTTTTCGTTTAAAGGCGGACCCACCCATATGTCCATTTGCTGGGCTTAGCCTAACAAATCGGCTTGGGAGAATCGGGATGGCATACGTCTTTAACGGGCCTTCAGTTTAGTAACCCAAACTCGAACCCATTTATAAGCATTTTTATCTTTTCAGGCCATCCTTTCTACTGAAGGACTTTTTGAGTTTTGACAATTAATTCGACTCTAACTTTTCGCTAATAGTACTATAATGATATGAATTTTATCTTCAAGTATATTGGTGTTATACTACAAAAACAAAAACTCTAATCAATAATTCCCAAAATTTTAAATAATTTAATGAAATTAACCAATGTGAAATCAAATAAAAAAATTAAAAAAATCGAAAGAAGCTAGTCACCATAGTAAAAACAAAAAACTTTTAAAAAAAATGTGTTTTACCAAACATGGGGCAGTTCTTGGTATAGACAACAATTTCATCTCTGCCATTGTGGTGCCAGAAGCCATTTGCTGTCGTGCCGCTGCTTGTTGATCCAGTAGGGCAATTCCGTTGTCAGGGTAGGGTAGGACAGGGCAACGCCTACCTTAACCATTTATAAGCAGTTTTGTTAGGTAAGGCAAAAAAAAAAAGGAGAGTAAATGGCCAGAGAGGGTATTTATGTAAATTGACATTCCTCTCCTTGGAGTAGGGGAAAAATATGTTAGGGTTCGTCAAGCTCATGTGTCTTCACCACGATGAATCCCAGCAATTTTTCATAGTCCCTCATCTCTACTTAACTATAAAACTGAAAAATTATAAATATCATCATAAGAATATCATATGGATCGTCAAAACGAGACAATTCTGTGTGGGTGAAGCCATCAATTCTATGTTTGAGCTTGTTGAGATAACATCTTTAAAAAACATTAAATCAACCCTGTTAGTGCAGTTTTGAAGCTTTAACCTAACACACACATTCCTAATTTCAAAATGCCTACTCTTCGGGCCTGTTTGGTATAACGGTTAAAATTCAGTGGATAGCGGATAGCGGGTAGCGGGTAACGGATAGCGGATAGCTGTAGCGGGTAACGGGTGGCGGTTAGCGGATGGCGGATGGCGGATAGCGAAAAGTGGGTAGCAGATGGTAAATAATGGATTCAATAAATATAATTGTTTGGTTATACAATAGTTAGCGGTTGTTGTTTAACATCAAATGACTAATAAGGACATGTTTAAAAACCAAAAAGTGTATTTTTTAAAATATTTTTATTTTTTATTATTAAAATTATTAATTTTATAGAAAAAATAATAATAAAA